AATTAAATCTCGAAAGGTAGTAGATAAATACAATTTGTTTGGTCCGGCAACCACAAATTCACATGCAATAAGTCAAATGACATTTGTATTTTGCAATATACAGTTGCGAACATTGATATCTAGCCTATTAAAAAAGCATGAATTTTCGAATTTTTAGGCGTGTTTGCACTTTGGTTAGTATTAGAGGCAAATTATTAATATTTACATAACTTTGGTTGTAATAAATTAAGAAGATACACTGAAAATAAAATCTGCGTAAATATAACGAAAACTTGCGTACATCTTACGTCGTTGATTGTACAAAACCATATTCGTACATACTATGAAAATATGAGGCATCAGATCTTTAGTACATTTTACGAATGTATTCGCACTATTTACTAACGAATTTAGTACTATTTATTGAAGAATTTCGTGCTATTTCTTATTTTTTTACGAAATTTTTGTAAAATGCACAGAAATAATTCGTATATTTAACGAAATTATCTTCGTAAAATCTGCGCTTGTTTCGTAGAAAGTGCGATTGCCTTCATTCTCCACACTGTAAAAAACATACTATGAATTATAACACAACACTTTTATTTTGTTTTTATCGTTAATTTTAAGCGTTTTTGTTTAACAAAATGTTTTGCAAAAACGCTTAACATTAATGATTAAAATATAATGAAAGTGTTGTGGTATAATTTGAGTCATGTTTTTCATAGTGTTAATAATAAAATTAATCATACATTCTACGAAAGAAGAAAAATTATTTTATGACTACACTATAGTTTAAAATTAATAAAAAAGATTATTTTACCTATAATAAAACTTAAGTCTTTTATTTATATGCATACGAATAGGTTCTATACTACATATTTTGTTTATTGCTTGGGCTTCATTCAATGAAGTATATTGATGCAAAATGTCAAATATAATAAGATATAAAATATTAAAGAATACAAAAAATACTGATTTTACTTTCTTAAACATTATAATATTTTTATGTAGGGATACTTGACAGATTCGCAGCTTCATCGATGTTTGTTTCCTTGACGACTATAAATTAAAGGAAAATTATAAGGCGTCTGAAAAGTAAGTTTTAGTGAAAAAGCATACATGTACTTACTTTTCATTCATTTCATTAAGTAGTGCTCCTGGCTTAGGCTTGCCGTTGATAGGTAACTGATGAAATTGCCAATTTATCAAGTCCCACATTGCAGCGCAAGGCGCAGCCTAGGCGATGTTAAAAACATTGTATGCTTCAAAGCATAGTATATCCACAGCTTTAATATTTAATTTTGTATTGTATTTTTATCCCTTTTTAAAAAGATTAAAATTATATTATACGTCTCACAGCAGCCAAGTAATTCCGCAGTACGAGTAATGACACGCGATACATAAAAATATGTTGAAATATTAAACTGACGAAAATTTAGTAAATTGTCGAAAATATTCGTATGTTGTACGAATTTAAAAAGCATGTTTCTGCATTAGTACTTAATACGAAAGTATTAACTAAATTGTACGAATGCAGAATTGTATATTTCGTAAATTTTGAAACCATACGTAAATATTACGAATGCCTTCCTACAATATACAAAATTATTCGTACAGAGATTTGTTCAGTGCTCAACGAATGTGTTTCGTAAAATAAATGTAAGATTTCGTAAACTGTACTGAAAAAATACCTTACGAAAGTCCTTTCGTTATATTTACGTGTGGTTCGTAAAATATTGTTTCGTTGTGAAAAATGTGTTCATATTATGAACGAAAGTTTCGTACATTGTACAAAAACTGAGACTACGAAAGTTTTTCGTAGCACTTTTACGAAATTTTATTTTCAGTGTATTAGCTGTGATTTTTTACATGCATATACATCTACGCTAAACGTGTAAAAAACCATCTTCGGCAATTTCCCTTTCAAAACAAGTAATTTTGATTTTATCGACAACTATTCATAAACGCACGTAAAGTTTCTCGTTTAGAGCTCCATACCATTTTTAAGCTCAGATACGTGTGCGTGTAAAAAAACGCGCCTATTATTTTAAAACTAAGAATTCAGAAAAAATGTTTTATGACAATGAGTCAAACTTTCTGAAACGGGCCACTAAAAACTAAGTAGAAGTAAATCCTTAAAATATTCTTTGAAAATTTAAATTTTTCGCAAATTTATTCATAAAAGAATTTTTGACCATCTTTTCATTAATTTTATATATAAATTGCTATATTTCCGTAAATATTCAATGAAAAATAACCAAATTTTAATGGTTTATCAGAGAAAGTACCAGAATCGAAAAAAATATTCATATTGGAAAAATTTTATTTTTTAATACTATTAAATAATAATAAATTTCCCAATAAACAACTGACAATTTAACTCACTTCTCCTTGTGTTAAACAAAAAAAAATTTACGATCTTATTCTATAAAGTATACACTAACAACTCGTGCAAAAATATTTTAGTGCAATCTATCCCATAAAAAAGTACGAATGCTTAAACATTATCGTGGATACGCGAAACCACTACCGACGTTGGAATGCAGCGCCGATAAACCTGGGCCCGTTCGTCGTTGCATGCTTACGTTTTAAAAAGCATATAGGTATATTATTATAACATATGTTAATGATTCTTACGATTAATTCTTTATATTAATAACTAGCTTTTACCCGCGGTTTTCACCCCACGTTTTTATACAAACATGAAAAATACTTTATCTAAAGATATTATACTCCCTTTCTGCTCTGAAATAGCACAAACGGAAATAACGCAAAATTTGCTTTATTTCACTTTTAAATTCGAAATAATACCAAAATCTGAGTTTTGCTTTATTTCCAACAAGGTTTGGAAATAAAACAAATTTTGCCTTATTTCCCTTTGCTTATTTATACTATTTGTAAAAAAAAATCAGTTTACTGACAGAAGCAAAAAGAACTTTGTTTATTCCAAAAATACAATTAAACCAAGGCACATTGAACAGGTAATATCAGTATAGCAGCTGATTTGATTTTTTTCAAATTATTTGTTCTCGAAAATGTCAAATATTTTACATTTCTTCTCACAAAAATTCTTAATTGTTAAAATCTATTTGCATGTGAAACATTTTCCATACAAAACCAGCGATTAAATAGCAGCTTTTGGAAAGCTCGCCCAACTCAGCAGCACAACCGCTGATTACTGGGCCTGGCACAGGATGGATCAATGCTTCGAGAAGCGAACCAATTTACTAAGAAAGCAACAAGTTTCATTTTTTCAATTTAAATTTTTTAACTTTTTCGTATTTCGCATGGCACGCTTTGATGTAGAAGAAAAAAATCAGAACAGTTTTTGGCACGTTCGATACCAGAAGCAACAACAAAATACAGGCAAATATTTTTGCTCAAATGCTCTAAACCTGTTTGATAGGCCTTCAATTAAACAAAAAATGTGATATAATTCATATGAAGAAAGTAATATTCACAAAATATTTTTACTTATGAAAAGTCTAACAAAATATAGGAAAAGCATCGTCTTTAAAAACTGCTCCGCATATTGGACATAGCGCTTTTGTATGAATTTTTTCTGCATGCTTTTTAATATGTTATAAACATTGCTGGAAAACCTTAAAATGTTTGCATGGAACCATGTCGCAATAAACAGATGAAGTAATAAAACGGCTTTCTCGCTTTATTTTCTGACATTCGGCTGCCTTATAGTCACATTTTATAGGCAAATTTTCAAATAAAGCAGTGGCACCTGGTAAATTCCACTATGGGTGGGATGCATGCAATAACTCCATACACAATAATTCCCATTACTTGGACATTAATAAAAAGCAGTTTCAGAAGTGAACTAGTTTTATTTTATCATTTTTCCTTTTTCTAAACGGTTATAATGCCACCAGTACATAATTGCGAAAGGAGGGGAGGGGCGGGGGACGCGCGCGCGACGTCGAACTCTGCGCGGCGCGGGGCGGCGCGCGAAAGCGGACTGCCGCGACGCCGGGCACTTTCAAAACTTTATACTTACAAATCCGTCCATTTAGCTTATTCATGTATTACTTTTTGTCAAATGTAACTGTAGTCTTAATAAATAAATCTCTCAATGGAGCCATAGTATAACTGGTTATAGAATCTTATCTGTGTGAGAAATTGGATAGGGATGAGCAATGTGATTGGGATGAGAAATTTGGTAGGGCTGAGCAGTTAAAATATCCATTAAAGGTAAAACACAACGCACTAAAGCTATGAACACCATCATACTTCAATTCTCTTCTTTTTTGAATATGCAGAAAAGTTTTTAAAGCTGCAGCCTTAACGAAATTGTAGCCATTTCAGAATTTATGTAGCATTGTAGCTTTTCATTTTAAATGTAGCAATTTTGCTACAATTGTAGCCAAACGGCAAGGCTGGATAGATGCAGTTACATATCTAAAAAAAGGGGCCTTTTCATTGGTACCAACAGTTTTTGGATTTCTCCTTCAGTTTTCGGGATATTGACTAAAATTTTATCGGTAATATAGTACAAATTGAGTTAAAATGCAGAACCACTCAACTAATCAAGATCTTGCAAATGGCGTTATCATTTTTTATTTATTTTCCTTCGTTTCCGAGATATTGAATAAAAAGTATCAATTTAGTAAAAAATGTTATCACATTTTGTCGTATGTCATAAAATGTGTCTGCAAAAATGTTAACAAATGTCACATTCGTCAAAATGTTACTAAAGAAAATCCTTCAAAAACAATTAACAATAAACAATAAATATGAAATGATTTAAGGATAACTGAACTAGTAACATTCTCCGAAACTTTGGAGAAAATCTGTCGTAGCGTATTTTGAGAAATTGCATTCCAAACTTCAACCGCGATTTCCCTAAACTTGGCGAAAGTAACATACGACAATTAGTTATCCATGCGACGGACTTAAAAGAATGCATACAAAAGACTTAAGGAACGAACTCTAAGTAAGAGATTATTATTGACATCAACAGCTTTCCAATTCAACATATAAATGTGTTTCGGTATTAGTTTTGTGCTTACCACCACATTGATCCTCTTCCTCGTCCCGGTTTCTGTTTACTTTCCGTAGCTGTGTTTGTACATAATACAATCAAACATAAGTAGAGAAATTGTGATAAATCCATCGTTTTAATTTACTTTCTCGAATTATGATGAAATATTTCGTTAAAATTTTTCTGTTATCGAACAAGTCATGCGTTCAAATTTGATTCATCTGATGCCTCTTTCGTGATATTGTTTAGGTTTTTTGAATGTTTATTTATATATGTACATATATATGTATACATATGTACATACAAACAATTTTAGCGTGTATTTCACGTTGAATTGGCGCACGTTAACAAATATATTTCGCGAATTTGAAGCACATATCGTACTTAACTGAGCACTTAACTTAACTTATCGTACTTAACTGCAGCTGATTTGGGAACACAATATGAAAACTGTATTGGTCACTAAGTGTGGTTTCGTCCCAGGTATGGGGTTATTTCTTTAAATAAAACTATAAATTCAAACCGATTTTTTTTGTAGTTTATCAGCTGCGAGCAATTAGTTTTCAAATATACATACATTCAAATATTATATAGCTATGTATAACGTATTTGCGTATGCAAACTAATTGACCACCATAAGTAAAACACAAGGAAATTTTTGCATTTGTAGAATTTCTCTGTATTAAAGCAGTTCAAATTTACGGTTAGAGCGCGTAACTATCTGTTTTAAGTAATAATTCGCAGCCAAACACTTAATGTTTGCTAGCACGAGCAATACTACTACCCGGCTCGATGATATCGCCAAACTGACAATGAAATTTTTTGGTCTCACGTTCTTTGCTTCAATTCACAAATGAGGTTGGTAATATCCTCGTCATCGCATTCGTGAGTACAACGACATCTTCGTTATATGCTGCTTGTAGTATTTCTTTATGGAAACTAAGTCGTACTACCTAAGTTGTTATTGCACTGAATGATCATCAGAGTTGTTTAATTGAACAACGTGTGAGAAAAGGACAAAAAATTTGAAGAAAGTAATGGGGCATACTTTTATGTGCGAGAGTGAGACAAACATAGCTTAGCTCTTTTTAACTAGTGAGTGATCAGTAGCCAATCGTTTGTGTATATAAACTAGATGTGGCCCAATAATAACCCCGCACAATTTGGAGAGTTTACGAGAGTGTTGGTAACTATATTTGACTGTCGGAAAGTGTAGGGCATTCATTTACATGCTATGACTGTGTTTGTATTCTTACATACATATGTATGTATGTAAGCATGCTGATCTATAGGTACGGTGACCATACGTCCTGTATTATACGGGACAGTCCTCTTTTTATCGTCGTTGGTCCTGGTAATTTATTTATTTCATACGGGACGCCAAATGTTGGTGGTCCCATACTAATCTGGTTAAGATCCGATCAGTGTATCATGAGATATATATATATATTTTTTTTTTATATGAGAGTTGAAGTCGGTTTTTTTTGTTAAAAATTACTTGTTATTTTTAAGTCTGGACGTTTGCGATTCGAATCAAGGACCACATACATATGTTTTTGAAGTTATAATTTTGCGTATAAAAACTGGGTAGTTTTGAGTATGAATCGAAAATAGACGTTAATGATTATTGCTAAAAATTTCTAAAAGAAATTTCACTAGTATTTAGCTTTTCAAACGATCCTTTCAACGCATTTCACGCTGAATATTCAGTAAAGCAGCTGATTTTACTTTTTTCGAGAATTTCGTATTTAAATTGTCACTTTTGCTCAGATTTTACTTTAAAATTTCAAACTTCGTTTACGTATATGGATTCCGAAGCCCACAAAAAATATATATAATATATATATATATATGTATATATTATTATGAAAAGACTTCAATTATATAAGTCTTAAAATAATAGTTATCGATGACTTTAAAAAAATTTCTCACACATATTATTATCAAAAGACTTCTAATTCTTACGAAAATTTGTATGACTTTTTTAAAACTCCACCATGGAATAATTATTATTATGGGTCTCTGATTGAACCAGATTTTTAAAATCCTCTAGCTTTTGTGGAAAAAATTAGCAAAATTAAGTCCCGTATTCGGCTGCCATAATTATGGTCACCGTATCTATAGGTGATCGTAATGAGGAATAGTGATGATATTTATGTTAAATAGTTCTGATCAGATTTTTATGATACTTCGGGTTATAGACTGCAAGTAGTACATGCGTATATATGCATGAAGCGTTTAAACCTGTATGTATTTGTAAATGTACATATTATATCGTTTTCTAGCTTACCAATATGCATAAGTAAAAGTAAGTAGGTAAATCATTGTTAGGGCCGTTTTCTCAAGTAACCTGTAACTTCAAAGCTCACTTTATATTTAAATGTTGCATTAAGATTTATGATTGTGTCTAGAGTAAAGCATTTTATTAATGGTTTTAAATTGGTATACGCCCAAAAACATACATACGTCAAAAACCGATAATATAAATGCTTAACTTTAGACATTGCTTTATTTTTAATCAAACCTATAAATATGAACTGAGCTTTAAAGTTAAAGGTTACTTCAGAAAGCGGCCCTTAATATTACACAGCCATATACAATATATTCCATGGAATACAAATTCGTGTTTAATATTAATAAGTACTAGCTTTTGCCGGCGGACCCGCCCGCGTAATATACGGTTTAACGCTAAATATGTTGTCAAATAGTTCAGCTACACCTAATAATAATATAATAGATTCACGCTTACACATATATATGTTGGCGTTTGGCCAAGCTTGTCCTCTGATTTTTGGCGTGCGCCTCGATGTTGTCACACAAAGAGGAGGGACCTATAGTTTTACGACGACTCCGAACGGCAGAAATACAATCGGTTAATTGCCATTGCCTGCCGAGGGCGACCAGTATTAGAAAAAACGTTTTTTTTAACCGACTCAGTGTGCACAAGGGTATAATAACTTTGTTCACATAACGGTTGTTCGTAACAGGCAAAATGAATCGATATAAATAGATGTAGACAAATGTATACATAAATTATCAGAATGCAAAAAAAAAAATCGATTAAGCGGTGACTGTCCGTCCGTCCATCTGTGCACACGATAACTCGAGTAAAAATTGAGATATCTTAAGTGCTCATTTACACACGGCGATTTTTGTTGCCGCAACTCGATGTTTGTAGGAGAGAAAGCGACGAGGAAAGGAGAGGGGCACCGAGTTGCTCGTGCTCGGGCAACACGCTTTCTGCTCTCGTTCGTCTGTGTAAACGAAACTCGGTATGTTTATTTCTTTTCAGCGTAGGATGGACAGTATTGAAAATTGGCGATCTCAGACAATAACCACGCCTACCTCCCACTCAAAATTGATATTTACAAAGATTTTTAGACGAAAAATAAGAATATTGTAAATTTTTGGGAAATATGCGTAGCCACGCCCACTTATGATTACATGTGTATATCTCGGTAACCCCTCCACCAATTCCCTCCAAACTTGACACGGTTGTTGGCCTTGGTACCAGGGTGTCCAGATTGTTTAAAAAAAGCGCAGTTTCTGAAAAAAATCGCCAAAAATTGCCTTTTTTTTAATAAAATTCATCAAATCGATTTAACAAATATTCTATTTCTTCTTAAAACCAAGCGAATTTAATACCTCCAGAGGGCAATAATAAATAACACAAATCACTTATATAATAGTGATGTACAGAAAATTTTCTTTAAAAATACGCATACTTTTTAAAAATATTTGCTTCAACACATTTTGCAATAGGACTGCGCAATTATTAAATTTGCACAATCTGATTTTAAGAGCTCGGCGCTAAGAATTAAATACAAACTTATAATAAGGCGAGATGGGCTATGCAACAATTTCTCAAAAATCACCTGTAGCGTCTAAAGGATTTACATTTCTGTTGTTGTCATATATTGAGCTATTCAACCCTGATAACATACATATAAAACTTTATTCTACTATTGAATTAAGGCTTTTCAACCTCATCCTATTTCGAATCTCAGTTTTTGTTGAATTCATTACGGAAAGACGCGCTTAACAAATCATGTGAGTGCGGCAAGGATAAAAATATGAATTTACTTATATTTCCAAACATTTTATTGCCTGTTGCGGTTTTAAATCCGTAAGCAATTATCCAAAATTCTTCAGAGTCGGATGGAATGGCTCTGAGAAAAGTTGTCCCATGGGAAATTTAAAAGATTTAAATATTCAGTTCTCGCTGCTTTTCTTTCCTTCAAAGTCAAATAGTGAATTTGCAGGCACCTGAAACTCGCCCTCCGTGATTCACATACTTTTCTGTTCACAAAATCAAAGCTTTTTTAAAGTTATATAATTGACTAGGTAATCGCTTCAAAAGTTCTTCAATTAGGGTGTTTAAACATTTTTGAGAGTATTTTAATATGCTTCTTAAGTCAAGTTTATCACGCAGTTCATTAGCATCTTCTGTAAAATTATCGTGGAAAAATAAGTTTTGTATATTTTTATAATCGGAAAAAATTTATGTTAAATTTTCACGCGCAAATATCAAAAAAAAATCGCCAAATTGGCGCGAAATCGCCAAATCTGGACACTTTGCTTGGTACAACATATCAAATGGCTGAAAATTTCTAAAATGGGATAATAACCATGCCTACATCCCATATAACGGTAATTTTCAGAAATACGAAATCCTTCGATAAATCAGTAAATACTGAAGCTAATTTATTCAAAATTTAAGTTTGCAATAAATCTTTAGCACAAAATACGTTTATAATAAAATTTGGGAAAATGGGCGTGGCACCGCTCACTTATGACCACATATGTGTATCTCGGTAACCGTTCGAGAAAATTGTAACAAACTCGGAATGATTATTGGGCTTTCCACATAAAAGCAAAACGCTGAAAATGATTGAAATCTGATTCAAATTACACCCGCTTTTTATATAATTGTAAATTTCAGAAATGCTTGAAACTTCGATATTTCGAAATTTAAGGATGCTAATTTACACAAAATTTATACTAACAACATTTCCTTGAAAAGAAGTAATATTACTGTGGAATTTTGTAAAATGGGCGTGATACCGCCCACATATAACTATACAAGTTTATCGAAGATGTTTGAAATAGGGATAAACCAACCCCTGCTTATCATGTAGGGGTAGTTTTCAGAAAGGTGAAAAAAAACTATATTTAATAATTGCGCCAGGTATCTTACTTAGACTTAGACTTAGTCTTTTTTACTGGTTTATTTTTTTGTATGTATGTTATAACATAACTTTGGACCACGTTAACCGATTTTTATAAGCTTTTTTGAAGGAAAGGTGTTACCTCACAGGTGGTCCCATATTTATTTGGTTTAAATCCGATCATTGGATCATAAAGAAACTAACGATAATCTTAAGTTTTTATATGGGAATTGAAGTCGGTTTTGTTTTTAGCACAGAAATTAGTTGTTGTTTATCATTTGATATTGGATTGAAACATGATAAAAACGTTACAAGGTAAATTCATTCTCTTAATTTGTCGGCCATGATTTTTTTCCGACGTTTTCCAGCATTTTAAACTCATATAAAATTGAAAAAATTAAATTGTTCACAATTGTTGTTGTTTGAGTTTGAAAATGGGAATGTGTGTGTGAGTTTGAGTTTTGAATTTTTAAATTATATTGCTGGCAAACGTCAGACTGCCTCTCAATGGTTTTACCTTGTTATTTTTTTTATCATGGGTTGAACCCATGGTACAATAATTACAGGTATTATCTTCCCAGAGAGTTTTGCTTCACATCGAAATTCGTGCTCCCTTATTTTATTTTGACGCAGTTCAGTGTTGATTCCATGATACAAATATTTAAAGGTAGTTTCATTTCTTCTTCTTATCAGCCATTGCTCCCATTTGACGTAAACT